ATCTTATCTTTCCAATGACTATAGTTATTTCCGTCAAATAATGGTGGCCTATTTGTGGATTGTCCTTCAGCTGGGTTACCATGGATCGAAACTCCTAGATGGTTAAATCTAAAACAAGAGTCTAGACTTTGATACCAATTGTTACCCAAAAGACAACCTAAGAGGGGGGTGAATTAAGTTTTTATAATTAAAATTAATAATATCCTAATAAAAATTATGACTAGCACAATAGATAAATATAATTAATGAAATAAAAATAATTAAAACAAGTGTCTTAACAATTATGTTAGTTAATGATTTTAGCACAGTAAAAATGTGAAATATAATTATGGCAATTTAAAATAAAATAAAGAGATAAGGGAGAGAGAGGCAAACAAAATTATAGTAGTTCGGTTTCAACTCGGCCTACGTCCACTCCTCAAACTTCACTTGAAATTTTCCACTATCTTCTATCTTCATAGGAGTGCTAACAACCTCTTTACAAATGGAACAATCCTCCACGAATTTTACACAGACTTCACAAGTTCAAACCCTTGCAAATCTTAGGTGATTCACAATCACTCTCAAGATTTCAAGAACACAGTGTTTGGAACACTTTTACAAGATGAAATGGTATTTTTGCTTTCAAAAAAAACTTATAATAAATATCTCTTAAAGATTTGCAAATCTTAGGTGATTCACAATCACTCTCAAGATTTCAAGAACACAGTGTTTAGAACACTTTTACAAGATGAAATGGTATTTTTGCTTTCAAAGAAAACTTATAATAAATATCTCTTAAAGATAGATATATAAAATGAAATTTTGATTTTTCTGTAAATCTCACATAGGAAAGATGGGCTTAATGCTATAAGGCTCAGTGTATAATTTTTTAGAATAGATGTGAGTAATTATAGATTAAAGAATATTTTCAGGTTTTTTGTAACTTATTTACATTAGAAATTTTGGTATATATAATGAAAATTATAGCCGTTTATAGCCGTTGTATTCATTTGAATTTATATCCGTTTATAGCCGTTGTAGTCATTTGAATTTATAGCCGTTTATAACCGTTGTATTCCATCATTACTAATTTGAATATCTTCCACTTGAATATTTTGAACATTTTGACCTTTTGAACCCTTGTATTTGTTTATATCTGTTGTACTTCCATCCTTACTAATTTGAATATCTTTTACTTGAACCTTTTGAACTGCTGTTGTGCTAGGCTGTTTGAACCTTTGTTTTGGACTGTTTGAACTCCCGATTTAATCAAATATTAAATACATTCTAACAATATTTAGGATAAAGGTTTAGGTGGGAAATAATGGGACAAAATAAATTTTAATTATATTTTACTCTATCAAATAAATCATCAAAATAAATTTTGATTAAAATATAATTAAATAAATCATCAAAATAAATTTTGAATTCTATTTTTCTCTTTCAAATAAATTAAAACATAATTAAATAAATTATCAACATAAATAACTCTAACAAATTCGATCAAAAATAAAGAGAATGGTGAAAAGCAAAAAGAGTATTTTGATCTCATTATAGATTTAAAAAAATCTTTAATTAAGATAACTTTTAGGACTTTTCTTAAGTGTGCAACTTACCCCTTACACTTACGCCTTTCTGTTTACTGTCCTGTTTTATGTTTACACCTTCCACTTACACCTTTTGTGTTGGTTGCATATGGTGTGCAACCTTAAGGGGTTGCACACCATAACAGCACCCTAACTTTTAATATTGTGTTATTTTTTATATAAATAGGGATAAATATACTCATTTAATATTTTCTTAACATATGATCTTAGAGCACATATTAACAAAAATCTTAAAATATAAAGTAAATAAAATAAAATTTCATTTTGAGAAGTAAATTAAAAGTTATATTTTTTAATTTTTTTTGGTTTGTTTTCGTTTTTAAAAAATGTGAAAATAATAATAATAATAATAATAATAATAATATGACGTAAAAAAAATTAAAAAGTGAATAAATTAACTTTTAATCTTATTTTCAAAATAGGCCAAATGACTTTTGATTCTGGTTCATTCAAATAAATAATAAAATCATTTTTTTTTCTTCTTTTACTTAGACATCATTTGACAATAAATTATTTTAGTAATTTTTTAATTTTTTATAAAAAGATATATAAAAAAGAAAAGCGAATAATGTGATAATTTAGTGGTCTATAGCATTACTCTTATAAGATATATATGGTAGATACTTTATAAAAGATGTGTACTATAATCTTTCTCTTTTGTTTATCATCTAAGATCTTGTTTGACAACTACATATTTTAATTAAAAAGTTAAAAAATTATTATAAATTATCACATTATTCGCTTTTCTTTTTTATGAGTAATGCTATAGACCACTAATTTATCATCACTAATCCTACCACTAGTGAGGTGGCAATTGAAAAAAAAAGAAAAAAAGGAAAAAACAAGGCACAAAACACATGTGGCAGTGGATGGGACCCACTGCCACATCATTAGAGCCACCACTAATTAGTGGTCTAAAGCACTTTTGATCTTATAACTATAACTTCATATTTTTTAAATTATAATTAAAAAAATAAAAAAAAATTATAACTAAATACAAAAAAAAATATATAACTAAAATCTCAAAATAATATCATAATTAAAATTAAAATGTGTATGATAGCATTCTCCTAAACTATAATCCTATAATTCTTTTCTGCCTTTTCTCTAAAAACCCAATCAAATACGCAGTCTTCAACAAACACAATTCAGAATATGTAAAAACTTACCAAACGCCACCTAAAATTTCAAAATTCAATCAAATGGAGTCTCATTGATGAGTTTAATCATAAATTTCTAATAAAAACCAAACCAAACCAAATTACAAAAACAAAAAAAAACAAAAAACAAAAAAAAAACAAACCTCACAATGAAACAACAAAACAAAAAAGCTCAATTCCAAAAAACAAACCTCACAGAGAGCAAGAGAGATCAGAAGACACACAGAATATCTAAATTCCCGATTCGAACACCAAAATTTTTACAAAAACCATACAGATCTTCCAATCCAAACCAAACCAAACCAAAAAAAAAAAAAAAAAAAACCAAAGCAGAAAAACCCAATTTCCACCTCTTATTCAGCATATAACAATCGAAAAGTTGTTATTAGATTGATGTAGATCATAGTATGATTGATAATGTGTGTGTGAATGAGGAGGAGTGAGAGAGGAAGCTTATCCGGTGTGGGGATGAGGAAGGTGAGAGGAGGTGGAGGAGGAGTCGTAAGAGGCAAGCTTGGTGAGCATGAGAGGGCGATCCTTGGCCTCTTCGTCGTCTTCGGCGTCGTCGTGAGAGGTGCTGAGGTTGATGCAGGCGCATCGCTCGAGAGAGGCGAAGAACGCTGAAGCCACGCTCGTGCCCACCCAGTTCGCCATCCGATCAAGCTTCTCGCACGACATGAATCCGCAATTGTTCTCCACGGACTGATTCGCAGACATCTTCTTCTTCTTCTTCTTCTTCTTCTTCTTCTTCGTTGATGGGTTTGAAGATGGTGATTTTGGTTTCGGAGGAAATTACGAGAGAGAGAGAGAGAGAGATTCGGTAGGGACGGTTTTGGATCGAAGGAGGGTAAGCTAAGATTATACATACAATAATCGGTTGGGAATTATTCCGAAACTGTTTTTTTTTTTATTTGAGTGTTGTTTTTTTTAAAAAAAAAATTAAAAGAGTTTTATGTTTTTAAATTCTACTTAACTAAATGAATTGAAGAATTAATTTTTTAAAACAATAAAAGTAAGTTTAAAATTATTAACTTTTTTTGCCTTTTTGTTATTTTTTAATTTTTTTTATAACTTTTAAAGGCAAATCAAAAAAATAAAAAATTTAATATAATTTTTAAAAATATATTTAAAAAATTTCCAAAAAAAAAAAAACATAACTTATTTAGAGCCCCCTCAATTTATAAGGGGAAAGAAACAAATTCTTTATTTTTCAAAGCATGTTGCTGTAGTGTTATGACCAAATCTTAGGAGCTGAGGCTAAGTAGCCAAGTGCTTCTTATTACAAAATTATCTTAATAAGATAAGGAAAATGTCTCGTAACTCAAATTTTGTGGCTCAAAAGTGGCTCAAATGGCCAAAACGATATCGTTTTGGCCATTTTTATATTGTTCTGTACTCAAAACGACGTCGTTTTGGCCATTTGAGCCACTTTTGAGCCACAAAATTTGAACTACGTAGCATTGTCGATAAGATAATAAGGTGTGCAACAATTACAGCTACACCGCGCAATAATCCCAAACTCAAACAATTTTATATCAATCATTTTTGACTAATTATATTTGGAGTCTATTGAAAGTTATGCCAAACTCATTTCAAAGAATAAGAAGCAAGATTGGAATATACATTACATAAAATAATTAGACAAAACACATTTATTTTTTCACATATTTTTATTAAATAAAATGTCTATTAATGTTGAATTTGTTCCAAGAAAGAATCATCATTAAACCCAATGATCTACACCCAACTCTAATTCCCTGTCCTAATAAGTTTTAGGTCAACCCAAACTCTTATCTCAAAACGAACTAAATTAGCTCAATAAATGTTACATAAAATAATTAGACAAAACACAAAATGTATTTTTTCATATATTTTTATTAAATAAAATGTTTATTAATGTTGAATTTGTTCCAAAAAAGAGTCAATATTAAACCCAGTGTTCTACGCCCAACTCTAACTCCCTATCCTAATAAGTTTTAGCTCAACCCAAATTCTTATCTCAAATAGCCTAAACTAACTCAATTATTAAGTTTAGGTTGGGATTAAACTTAACCAAGCCGAAGATAGCTCATGTTAGGCCGCCAAATATATATATAAATGTTTAAGCCCAAACCTTATGAAGGATTGAATGGTGCCAAAACTTGAAGCAACACTCTGAAACTTGAAGAATCCACACACAGACAATTTCACTGAATTTCAAGGATGACTAGTAATTTTCAAAAGTATATCAATGGCTTCTTCTAGCAACCAATAGCCAAAAACCAAGTATATGAATGTAAAGAAAATACTCACAGATGATTACAATGATTGCAATGCGTGCAAAGTGTTTATACCAGGCCTTTTTTCACAGTTGAATGTAAACAATCTAACAAGTCCACGACGCAGATCGAGTGAGCCTTGGCTTGGCTATCTTTTTGTCCTCTTCGAGAGAGATCATGAGAAGATTGGATGGGTTCTCTATCATGGTTTTTGCAACCAGATAGCCAGCAATGCTCCATGTCTGGTACCTCCTCGCTTGCTTTCCCACGTAACGACCTGTCTTACCATCATAATACTCGGGCCACCCATCTTTCGAAATCCGCTGCTCCACCAGCTCTATTGCTCTCTTTGCAATTTGAGGCCTACCGGTCTTGATGCATGCTGCTGTCAGCAACCATAGCAGAACTACAAGAACAAACGCACCACAGCAACAAAACATTAGATACTATACAACCCTTAATGTTTATTTGTTCTCAGTGATAAGGCAAAAAAATACATTTATGTTTCTCTTTGTTGACTATGAACTCATATCAGCTCTACATTATAAGATAACCCATTTCAACTATAAACTAATCTGTGTTTCTGTTGAGACCTGATTCCTAAGATGCTAATTAGTGGAGTCATCTTATGCTAACAGTAAAGTATGTGCTTCCATAGCATGAATGAGACATACAAGTGTTTTTAACATATCTAGCATTGTGCACAAACTTTATTCTCACCTGGCCAAGTTCCACCATTATGGTAACTCCAGCGAGTATTCTTTGGATCACAACCAGTGACAATCCTCCACTGGTGTCCTTCCAGTGCCGGGTAAGTGATTTTCAGAGGCATTTCCCCAATCAAGTCCTCCCAGCGCTCCTCAATTAGATCCATGATAGCTGTAGCTTGAGCAGGTGTGGCTAGAGAGCTCAAGATGGCGATGCAGTTCCCAACTAAGAACCAACGGAAGTCCATGCGAGCTGGGCTGACATTGCCAATGAAATACCCTCCTCGCAAGGGCATGAAATCAAACACCCAATCTGGTATAGATTCAGGAATGACATTGAATTTATTGACAGCAGTGTGGGAGTACTCCTCAGTACGGTAGCGGTAGATGTTATTCAGTTGAGTGAAATCGAGCCAGTAGTAATTTTGTATGTGGAAGCTCAGGGCTGTAATCCTCTTGTCAATCCGCTCAATCAATTCCTTGCCACCACCCTCTGGTTTTAACATTTGTTGTGCACACCTCAGCGCAAAAAAGAAGAGGGCCTGGATCTCAATTGGATAACCATATATTCCCTGTTCCAAATGTAATTGAAAAACAGAAGTTATAATCTAATATATGAAAGCAAGCTAAGTGATAATTGAGAAATGATACTGTCAATTTGCCAAAAAAGTGTTATTGACTCAAGCAAGCACCACTCCGTGCCATGCAGTTCATGCTGCCATAAAAACTCCAAAATTGGATCAGACCAAGCTCAATTAAAATTGGGTCAAACATCCTCAAATAATGCCAAGAATGCAAGTTGGACATTTTATCTTAAAACCACATATGTAATAGAAATGCCATACTCAAAACAAAATATCAGAACAGAATCACATAACAGAGAAAAACTAACCATCCTCCTGTCAATCATGCTACACCCATCTGCACATAGAAGTGTTGGGAAAGTGTCAAAGCCATCAGAAAGGCAAAGGTTAAGTATCAACTTCATCCCTCTTTGCACCTGAGGTAGTTCAGACAGTGTATGATCCCTCGTGCATTTTGTGTATGACCTTAGCAATATAATCCACCAGAACCCTGAATCAACAGGTGCTACTCTTCCAATTGCACTGCCTCCAAAATCTGCAATCAATGTATCCTTTATACGATGTGAGTCAAACAGAACCTTGAAACTGGCAGGCATCACGCCTTCTCCAAGAGTGAAGTTATCAATCCTCTTCTCCCAGCCTTGAAGGTGAAGGGTCTTCAATAGGAAGTTCTTTACAATTTCTGGTTCAGGTGGAGATTTCATCAGGCAAGCTAAGCCGCTGGGAAAAAAGTCTCTCACGAAAACCTGCCCATATAATGGATATTTATAACCAACTTGAGGCAACAGAAGAAGAACATATGGGCTTAACCACCCCAGCGACAATAACAGACCGAACATCAGAGGCTGATGGAACCATCAGTTTGACAGAACAACTGGTCCCAGAAGGGTATAGCTTATTGACGTCATGATGAATATTTGAAGAATTTTTAGAATTGAAGCAGCTTCAATGTAATGGGATATCATTTGAGGGAACTTCAGTTTGTTTGAATCAAAATATATAGACCTAGTTGCTCTCAGCATTATTCAGGGGAAAAAATCCCTAAAAAATGTCATACATCAAGAATTGCTAAAAAAAACCATATTTTTATTTTTTTCAAATATCACACCATCTCATTATTCCTCAAGACCTCAAGAAGTGGCAATTCATGACTTTGCTTGGTTATTCATGACTTTGCTTGGTTATAATTTTTCAAAAACACTTTTGAAAAAATTCTAATTTCTTATTTTTCATGTTTTTTTGTTTTTACTGAATTTTTTTAATACTTTAAGCATTTTTTTTTTTACTTTTTAGACATACCTAACATAAATATACATAAAAAGTAAAAAAATTGTGAAAAAAATCTTTTAAAAATTCACTAAATACCAAAAATATAAAAAAAAAATACGAGAATTCAGTACATTTTTCGTATTTTTATATATTTATTAATTTTTTAAAATATTTTTTCACAAATTTTTTACTTTTTAGATACATCTAAGCAAGGTACATTTAAAAAAGTAAAAAAAAAATGTTAAAAATTTTAAAAATATTCACTAAAAACAAAAAAATACAAAAATCAAAATATTCAATTTTCAAAAATCTTAATCCAAAAAACTCAAACCAAACACAGTACTTTTATCTCACTACTTAACAAATTGCCAAAATCCTACTTTGTAAAACTTCTGACTTGGCAATCCAATAGTATAAAAGGTAAACTCAAAGTCAAAAAAATAGGATTAAATTAATTCATTTTGTCAGCTGCATTCTATTAGAATACTCTTCTTTTAAGAACATTGTTAATGGACTCGTTGTTCTGCATTACCACTACTAAATCAAACTGACATTTTATACTTCAAAATAATTACATGCAACTCTAAAGTCCTGTTCTTATTTAGTACTGAGTCTGTGTTACATAGGTACTGGCATAACATATTTCTATCAGAAACCTGATATCTTCCATGTGTCTATAGCAGGAGAGGTCCTTCAAATTGATACAAATAACAGAGGGCCAGTAACACAGAGAGAGAAAGAGAGAGAGAGAGAACCAATTCCCAGGGCAACATGACAGTGAGATGGCTCATGATGAATAGAAAGAAAAAGAGATCCAAATAAAATATGTCAATTCAATTTCCGTAATAGAACTCGCTTACATATCATTCATGTATCAATATACGAAAAGATGAATCATCTCAAGCAATGTATTGTAATTGTAATCAAGTTCGACTTTCAACAAAGGGAAATAGTACACAAGCAATATACTGATATTGTGACTCTGTCAATGACTATCAGAGTGAAATGAACACCTCACAAACAAATAGATCGACAAACAAATTCAGATATAAAGGAATAATCTGTTAAAATTATGAACAATAATACATTGTGCAAACTGCGAACAACAATCTGGATATATAGCAGATACATGATCAAGAACAAGAATCAAGCGTAACTTATCCTTCAAGTATTAATCTCTCTCCCTCTCTCTCTCTCTCTCTCTCTCTCTCTCACACACACACACACACACACACACACAAGCACATAGTCTCAAAAATAAGTTTTACCTGATTGTAATTCAAAGCTTCAGCGCTGGGATCGAGAGCGGCCAAGGTACCAACAGGCATTCCTTTGAAGTAGACGAACGACTTCTTCAATCTCTCCCACGCTTCGTCCATCATCGAACCATTCTCTGAACTCCCTTGCTGTCCATTCATCCTGTTGCTTCCAGGAGACACTATCTGATCCAGATGCGTTACGCTCGGCGACGGCTTCAACAACACCGACGCCTTGTAAATATTCCCGCTCGGCGCTCCTCCATCAGAGTTGTTCTCAACACTACTCTGTATTCTCACTGTCTTCGTCGCCTTCTCCATAGCTCCACCTGCCGTCTCCGTCGGAGAAACCAGAGGCTTCTCAGACTCCGACGATGGAGAAATCGGAGCGTCGTTTTGTTGAAGGTCCAGCAAATCCTCCTCAACTGAATCGTCCTTCGAGCTCTTCTCTTCTACGATCACTGGTGGTGTATCAGATTTTTCTTCCGGCGAAGTTTGCTGATCAGCATCATCGCCGGAGACGGCGATGACGCTCAGGATAGCCATTGGAGAGAGTGAAAATGAGCACAGTACAGATCCTAGTGAGAGAAAGTGGAGAGAATCTAGAGAGAGAGAGACAGAGAGAGAGTAGTGTTGATGAACAAGAAGCAAAAAATGCTGAGAGAGAGAGAGAGTGAGGGTCAAGAAGAAGCATGGCCGCGATGTTTGTATTTTTGGTTTTGGCGGTTAATGAGGAATTCGAGGAGTCTGAGCGTACGATCTATGCAGTAGCCACTTATGTTTGTTATATTTACGAGAGCTGCCATTGAGGGGTTTGTTGAGGAATTGAGGTTTAATTAGCTGATTGTTTGCTTGGAATTAAAGTTTATAGGTTGGGGTAGTTTCGGTAATAGCACTTCATAGTTCATGCATTTCGACGTTGGTAGTGCCTGGTTGGACGCTATTGTGCTCCAGGTATGCAGCAATGGTGGAACGTGAAACGAAATTTTGAATAACAGCCATGTTCATGAACACGTGGCAGCCTTTCAGTGGTCAACTAACCAGACGAGATATTGGGAGTGTCTGGAAAGTTAGTTTTTAGATTTTTTTATTTTATTTTTTTTACTAAAAGACAAATTAGTTATAAAATCAAAAAAAATAAATCAAAATAAAATATCACATCAAATCTCATAATCATTTTATTTTTTCTCTCACAAATATCACATCCAATCACAAAAAACTCAATTATCTTTCTAAACACAAAAAAAAAAAATTTCTAATAATATCCTAAAACTAAAAAAACCTACAAAAAAATTCACTTCTCAAACATCAACATAGTAGTCAATTTTGTCTTTTTATTTTTAGGATAAATTACAAATATTTGATTAAAATACGAATTACTCTTCTAATTTTAAAAATTATATTTCACCCCTTCAAGTTTCTAATTTCATAATAAATAGTTCTTTTTATTAATAAATTATCAAATCAATTAACAATTTTTAATGATGTTAGAAATATGTTTCAATTAATAATTTAGGTAACTTTATTATTTGTATAGAAGAGCAATTATGAATTTTATTTTTTTTGTTAATTTTGTTAAATAAAAAATACTAACAATGAGGTATTTGTAATTTTTCAAACTATAAAGAACAATCTGTACTTTAAACAAATCTCAAAAGTGTATTTGTAATTTACCATTATTTTTAACAACTCAAAATTGACAATAATATTAAAATTTCTCAAAATTTTAATGGAAAGATTTTGTATTTTATTTGTTTTTGCATATTATTTTAAATTTTCTTTCGTCTTCTTATTTTTAACTAGTTAAAATTGACGATAGTATCAAAATTTCTCAAATTTAATGGAGACCTTGTATTTTATTTGTTTATTAAATGCCATTCTAATTTTTCACATCACCTCTAGGTTACCATTGCCATCCAACACTTCCAGCAAGCTTGTGGTGAAATTATTTGGTAGTATCAGTACTCTTCTCACTAATCACAAATCATAATACTTTCAAACACAAACTCGTAAACTTCATTCTCTCCACTAATCGCAACATCATTGGAACACCACTTGACAATACTCCAAAACCAACTAATAACTTCTCAACCTCGCCCCTTGTGCCATCAGTAAAGATCAAAGAAAATACTATGCATCCTAAATAAATTATACCAAATTTTAATTTGGTATAATAATAGAAAATTTGGTATAATTTATTTAGGATCCCTAACATAACATCATTGTCAAGTTGAGCAGGAAATTAGAAGGGGAAAAAAATGACAATTTGTTTTAGAATAAAGGTTGAAACCCCCTTTGGGGGTCACCCCCTTGACCCCCTTCAGTTTTGATTGGTCAACTTTTCCTTTTTTTTTTTTTTTTTTTCTTCTCACCCAATCCCCAACCTCCATGTGTGTGTGGGGGTTATGGGGGTGAGTGTTTTAAGGAGGTCTAAATCAATACCATTTTTTTTAACGAGCTAGACCAATCGATCAATGGTATATCCCAATCCTTACCGAATGATTTTGGCACATACAGGCTAGCAAGCCACTCCAATGGCAATTCTAATGGATCAGGATTTGATCCAACCTTTTTTGTTTTGTTTTTCTGTTCGTTTTTCAAAATTTCAAGCCGGATCAATATGTTGCTTCTCACAAACTAATGATCAGGTCGGATTTCAACACCTAAACCTAAGTCTAAACCAAATCTTATTTGGATTGGACAAACTTTCTAGAGGCACGAACTTGGGCCGGGTAAAAATCAAATAAGCTCATATTGGCCTTAATCTTTTTAGGCCAAATGATAATCCTTATGGCCCCATTTGTTTTGGGTGTAATGGATGGGAGGGGATTAGGATGGAGGTAGGGTTATTTAGTGTTGTGTTTGTTTGTAGAGTTGGGGAAGGAATTAGGATGGAGGAGGAGATTAAGACGGAGGTTGAAAAGGAGATTAGGATGGAAAAGGTGGAGGTAGTATTAGAAAAATAGTGAAGGGATTAAAAAAAATTATTTTTTACATATTGAGAATTTTTTTTTAAACATTAATGTTTAATTTTTTTATTTTTTTATTTGTTTTATTATTTTATATAAAAATAATTTAACAATTCTTACACTAATAACTATCATCAAAACAAACACAATTTTACTTAATCTCCTCACTAACAATCTCCTCATTATTAATCTCCTCTATTTTACCTTTAAAAACCAACGAAAATTCCCTTCTATCTTATCTCTAAAAACAAATAGGACTATAAACCATTCTATATTGTCTACAGCCTTTGAGACTCTTTACTCCTACACATACTAGCACTTTCAAGAATGTTAAAAAACAAAAAAAAATATATATATATATATATAATTTGTTTAATAATTGACATGTCTTTATATTTCTGTAGTCTTGTATGTTACTTCAAATTTCTATTTTCACGAAGTTTGTGCAATTGAACAAATTTTGAATGATTGGTCCAAGAGTAATAGACTCTACTGCAAGTTAAATGATTTAGTCTTCTAACAAGGTAAATGATTTAGTGTGAAGAATAAGAGAACTCATGAACCGTATGGATGTACATTATGAAATGCTAGACTTAATTTAATTTTCTTTTACATTTCTTTTATTTGTCATAAATAATTTTACATTTCTTTTACTCTAAACTCTATTTAATCAGACATTTTTAGATCTTGGAAGTTTTTGGTCTTATAATTGTAGTATTCACAAAGTTCATATTTCATTTACAATTTTAGACTTTTAGTCTCATAGATTTTTAGACTTTTTGACTCTTTAAGTTTTTGTATCTACAGAAGTTGTCTATAGATTGCCTTTGAAGACTCTCTTCATCATCCCAAGCATCCATATGTTCGCATCAATAATTGGCATTAAGATGCTTAAAAGAAAAAGACAAATAGCCAATTTGTAGAAGATAAAGCCTCTCTTCACCGTGCGGTAAAATTCACGCCAGCTATTGTAACTATTTGCGTCTGTCAGTAGTAAGGCTTCTCCTTCACTCACTACTTTAATAGAGCGGATGATCCTTACCCTGCTCCATTAAAGAAAAGATGTGGGGATCCTTACATGTGTTATAGTGTCAACTTTTTATTTTATTTTATCAAGAGGGAGAGAATAAAATGATGTGCGATGGGGCCCAAAGCAGTATCCGGCATCCATATCCTAACTCTTTATTGATTCCTTCTTTAGTCGGTGTCTAGGAAGTGTGTCAGAAAAGGTGTATATAATTGTAGTTTTACTTTTTGGTCTTTATCTTTATTAGTTTGAAGACTTTGTTTTTATAGATTAGGTATAGGTTAGCTTTTTGATTTTGATTTTTTTAAAGATGTATTGTATAAATTGGCATTCATGCCAACAAATAAAGCAATGTAAATTCCCTCCACTCTTCATTGGAAAAATTCTCCAACTTCTTTACTCAAGTCTTTGTCTAAAAAATTCCAAGTGTTCAAGTCTTTCAAGGTTTTACAGTATCTCAAAGTCTGCAATATAATCTTCATAAGTATAATGTATATTAATATAAAGTGTGAGTAGTTTCTCTTTTTTCTTAGATATTTCAAAAGGATAACTCTTCTGTTCTAAAATTTATTTTCTTTTTAGGAAACTAAGCTTATGGAATGCCTGCTTACTCATTAATATTACATGCTTTGAACCTTCATAGTATTTATTGTTTTCTATTTCATTACTGAGTGACCTTAACGGAAGAACTCGTGTAAGCCATGGTTAGGCATTGAGAGTAAATTGTAGGCAGAAAGGGAAAAGTAAGAAGTAGAAAATAAAAATATACTATGTGTACGGGGCCAAATATCTGATGTTATCCGTACTCCTCGTGCCCAAGCTACACTTCACTCTGATCAACCTGAGAACACCAAGAAGGTGAGCTACCCGACGGTGTGCTACCAGAAAATCCCTTCGACAGTCAAGTTAGCACACTTAGAGAGAGAGAGAGGAAAGAGAGGAGACAGAGTGGTAGTTGAGCTCTGACCAAATGATGTTTCAGCCCTGAGTATGGAGGCGCAGCTTCGTTTATATAGTTTCTGCGCGCACTTTTGCGCCCATTCCTCTTGGGACACGTGGACCTGCTCTCCTCTCACATTTCCCCACATGTCAGCGCTAATACAGCTAAATTGTCACGACCCAAACCCGTCCCTATGGGTTAGGTATCGTAACCGGCCAGTAATCCGTGATTACCAAAGGCCTGCTTAACAGTAATGACATTAATGCAGAGTAAAGGGGCTGGCGGAAGCCAAAACAATAAATAAAGATGTCCAATGAGCTGTGATATTCTGTATGCAAAAAGACTTTTCTAAACATATTCACATTCGTAGTCAAAACACATTTACATATCAGATATACATACATACAAGTTAGGGATTCAATCCCTATGCCATAATTGTACAGTCAAACTTATTCAGTCTATACAAAACAGAGACAAAAAGGGTGATTCTGAAACACCCCAAAACAACCTTGGCTTGGACGGACTTGGAACCTCAAGGTGAGGCACAATGGTTGGCTTTGACAAAACAAGAGCTAACCCGACGCTCCTAGCTCCGATCCGGTGCCTGGACACCTACATATATATGTAAACAGTAAGCTAAAACCCAGTGAATAACAGTCATGTAAAGAGGTTAAGAATGAATGTCCTTTCAGTAATTAAACAGTTATATCAGTCACTTAG